GTTAATGTAATTGTCTTTTCCTTAATCTAGTTCCGCTTTGCTTTATGTAGTTGTCTTTTTCTTAATGTAGTTCCGCTTTGCTTTATGTAGTTGCGCTTTTAGATTTGTAGTTTCAGTTTGCACTTCAAGGCCACCGTAAAATTGTCTATTTCCATTGGCAAAGTGTCTAATTTACGAACTAAATTCAAGATTATTTGAAGAAAAAATTAGTTTAGGTTAGATTTTCAGCAAATTATTAGTCCATTAAACCTAAAATACAGAAATGTTTCTGATTAATTAAAATTTTAACTTCACCTTCAAGAAAATGTGACGTTTTCATTTCATTTAATCTTTAAACACCCTGTACTAACGCAGTTTTTTCAGTTTTCATTTGCTCTCAACCCCTATCAACACTAAAGCAGGACAGTATTTCTATCCATATTAATATCTTCTTATACCTTTTGTTTTCAAAGGCTTCATTAGAAACATGTTAGTGCACCGAAATGCCAAACGCTGGGTAAAGATTTAGCTGCTTCTCCTGTTCCTTAATGGCATTGAGGTTGAAGCGGTTGTTCCTCTGTGTTCTTTGTAATATAAGAAATGGCGGCCATCTTTAAAATCTCAGGAACCCATCGATGTTACAGCAGCAGTGAGAAACGGCGTTTGTTTTTTTAGTGGCGAGAACACACCCCCTTTAGTTGACAGCTGGATTAATACATTTTCCTATCAAAGAAAATTGCAATAAGTCACATTCAGCTAAGAAGAAAACCTTTTGGATGTTTCTGAAGTGGAGACAGATGGCACCAAAGAGGTTGATCAGGTTTAAAACGCATCGTTCCCCCCCTACAAGCTCCTGTTTCTGCTCCGTTTCTCCACCCAGAGTCCCACGGAAGAAAAGAGGCGCACGTTTGGGTGCACGTTCCATCACATCCACGCCTGTGGGGGGGCCGAGCAGCGGAGAGGCTTTAACAAACAAGAGGAGCTGCATGGCTGCCTGCAGAGCCAGGACGGAAGGATTAGCCAGCGAGGCCTGCGTCTGACGCAGACTCCATCCTTTTGGTCCTGCCTTTTTTTTTCTCTTCAGACTCCGACCCTGAAGGAGCTCTTTGATTTCTGGGTGGTGCAATGTGTTGGAGGATGATGTTAGCATGGCTAATTGGCACCTTTTTAGTTTCAAATGGCGCGACTTTCATCTTTTGCAACAACTCTGTTCGACATTTCCACGCCATGTTAGATTTTCATCAAATGTTTACCATATCATAGAGGCAAAACACAACAAGACGATTTCATTTGATGACTCGGCAACGGAGCGCTCTCCGAACCGTTCCAGGTCACAGAAGTACATTCCTTTTTCCCTGTCAGGGGGTGACGGAATCTCTCCAAAGGGATGGTCAGCACACAACGACATGCCTTTCATATCTAGCACCTTAAAGGATCTCTGGTGAAGACTGTTTCTCCCTGGTAATTATTGCTCTTTTAGTCAAACTCTCCCCCTCTTGACTCTGTTATTCCTCTGCAATCATTTGAGTTTGTGCACACCAGATCAAGTCCAAGATCAGAAGACACAATACCACAAGTTATAAGAAAACAAACAACAAAAAAAAGTGACAAAAAGCCCTCCAAAGGAGCCACAGAAAGCATCACCATTTAAAGTACCTAAAAACATCGGCAATACTAAATCTAAACATGTTTTAAGGCAGTATGACATCTCCTCTGTTCTGGGATTCACCCTTTAACATTATCTGCAGCTTCAACCATTTCCAAAAAACAAAATTATGTGCAACATTTCAAGCATAATGAGGGCAGAACAATGGGTGGTTGCAAATTTCCTACAATCTTTGAACTGTGCACGCAGATTCTTACAGTCATGTTGTGAATATTAAGACAGATATTGCTACTCTGATATAAAAAATGGGTGATTAGAGGAAAGAAATCGCCAGTTTGTGCAAACTCCTTTCAACTTTTGAGATTCTAGCAAAGCCGCTAATTTGTGGAGTGGAAGCGAGTGCGTCAGGATGCAGTTATGATGTGGAAAGCACGTTAAAGAAAAGAGAAAAACTGCAACGTGACTCAAACAGTACCTGGAAGTCTGCGATGCAAAGCTCCACCGGCATCTGGATAAGATTTACCCTGTTGTCACATCAGAGGAGAAGAAGGGAAAAAGTCCTGCGTGCCACAGCATTTCTTTGTGGCAATCACATAGAAAAAAGACTTTAGAAAAAGGAACCAAAGCAAGTTTTTTTTTTTTTTCTTTTTTTGTCTGCTTTGTAAAGGAAATCCACATCTACGGTGTGCGCTTATTTCAATCATTAAGGTAATAAAACTCCTGTCCAACTCGCCCCTTTGATATGTGATTGAGTTCTGAAGCGCTTCTACAAACAGGAAAGAAAAAAAGAGTCATCTCATACAGGTAGTTGCTTTTTGTTGCTGTTTCTTGCCCTTTCTCTCTCTTTAGTGCCCTTTGAAGAAACGGACCTCATTCCCTCGCCGAGGAACAAAGGAATGATTTCCCTCCAGACGCAGCAGGAGGAGTCAGACACAGCAGATGTCCGTGGACTTTGACCATGGGGCCGGGTGCCACCCAGGCGCTGCTCCTGATAAGTCTCGCTTGAGTTCTCTTGCCCTGACTGATGGGTCCTGTTGCAGCTCGTCACACCTGGATGCCGGTACCATGAAGATGCAGCATCTGGGCTCTCATAGTCTGTATGCTGCTCATTATCTTTTTCTGGTGGCCCACTAGTGTGATTCCCAAGCTCATCACATCCCTGCAAGACAATACAACACATCCGTTACTATATACAGTTTATAGACTTCAGTATTAGTGAGCATCACATACAGCAGGGAGGAACAACCACACTGGAAAAAATCGAAATCTTGCAGGGGAACGCCGTTTTTTTTACATTGGTCCCTTGATTTTACGTTATTCCATCATGTTCTACTCACCCATATGAGTTTTGTGTCATTTGGAGCCGTTCTGAAAATATTTCGTTAGGTTATAT